ATCGGATGCCTGTTTTATCCCTGGCCAATTTATCTTCCTCCTGTTGCTGAAAATACCCTCTTTGCAGCCAATTAAAGGCAAAGCAAACTTGATCATGGTAAATTAACCACCTTAGCAAATTGGCTTCCATCAGCAGCTTATGGCTAGCATCCAGACCTCAATTTCTCTGAGCAACAGCTAGAAGCAGAGCAGAGAGCAATGATAGCATTTGATGCAGACCACAAGGGCACTCATTATAAATGTTTTATAAATGTTTATATATTATAATCCAGAGTTAGCTATAGAAACAAAGTATTACTCTTAACTGTAAGCATGACACTGTCCAAAGGGAGAGGGGCTTAGCTTATGGGTAACACCCCACCACCACCCTTTTTGGCCTCCAGGAAATAGAACTGTTTGGCAAGAAACACAGTAATATGAGGTTATTTAGCTGATCTGGGTTCCATCTTCATCCCTGCATGTGTGGGAAGAGTGAAATAAAAATATCAAGGGGATGTTAGCTTTGATTTTTCTCCACTCATTGGATCTGAGTAGATCCAGGTAGATTTCTTAATGGTTGATTGATTTTGCTGTTCATTTTTGGAAAACATCAGAAGTGATGTACATCCGTCCACTACAAAACAAACCACAGCCTGATTTCTGCTAAGTGATGCAATATCCTTAGCTAAAGGTTGACTGATCATGTGCTATCAAATCGGTGTTGGTTCTTAACAACTTCGGGTCTTCCAATGGTGCACCCATCACTGTTGTAAGTCCATCCCCTTGCTGCTGGTTCTCCTCTTTCCTTCCGCCTTTCCCCTTCTCCTTCCTTCCACCCTTCCCAGCATCCAGAGAGCTGGGTCCTTGCAGAATGGGTCTTGTGCCTTGAGAGAGAACTAGATTTTTTCTAGGATCCACTAGGTAAGTACCGATAGAGAACCTGGGTGTTCCAGATGTTGTTTAAGAGCAGTTTTATCATCCCTCATCCTTAGCCCTATTTTATATGGGTGCAGAAAATTACAGAGTTTTGTTACAGAGATCCGCATACAAGAAAACCACGAATACAAAACTATAAATTCCTTCTAGAAAGTAAGGGAATGGCTTAGTTCAGAACTATCTGGAGGACGGCAGTTGACCCATCCTTGGGTTAATACATTATGCAAAAGTGCCCAGCTTAAATAACACTAAGCTTAGCTACTTTGGTACCAGACCGCTTTCTCCATGACGGAGCTGCAATTAGGAAAGCCCCCCAAGATAATACAGCGTCGCCTCCTGTGCTCCATAGGAGAGTGGACATAGCCCAGAGACGGAGTTCATCTCTCGCCTGTGGAAGATCTGAAGGAGCTTTAGGGTTTCCAGGAAAAACGGATGCAACGGTTCAAGGGAAGTTCAAGCATTAGAGGTAATATCACGCTGGGGCAATTAACCGAGGAAGCATTTCATATCCTGCTTGCAAGTTCCCAGCTAAAAAAACAACTCTTTTCTATGAAATCCATGTGGCCACCAGGACGCCTCTGATCTTTCAACAGCTATTCTTTGCTGTAACTGACTAGAAGTTCATTACTATACCAAGGCTGTGCAATGGTGATGCTCACTTGTCTGTTGGTGGTTTGGTTTTTATCTTGGGCGCCAATGGGGTATGTAGGTATTTTCATTGTTACGTGTTGCTATACGGTGTTTCTAACGGCTGTTGGCAGCCCAGAGTCATGAATTTGAGCGGGGTGGCCGTATAAATTGAAATATAAATCAAGAACTACTGTAAATCCTCAGCTACCTTCCGAACTGCCAGAGGGGTCAAGCTGGGAGGCACAGCCGTTTTGGACATGCTTCAGAGTCAGGCAGGGCCAGGACCTAAATCTGCTGTAATGCAAACGTCATTGCAATTGAATCAGTTCAGTGCAGTGGCAAAGTTTGAAAGACCTTGAGGGGAGCACATCCAAGGTTTTGGGGAGCTAAGTGGGCCTCCACTTAGGCACCTCTAGATCTGAGAGTGGAGCTACTTCTCTTGATTCTCTTGTTCTGATCTTTTTTCCTGCTTGTATTCCCTGTGAATGAAAAATAAAGTGACCTTGAAGAACCACGTATAACAAAACTATATCTCTTGCTTCCTGGAGCAGATCCATTAACCTCAATGAAGGACAAAATAACTCCTCCTTTCAACCTTGATATTGTTATTACTCACAGCCAACCTGTTTCGTCAGTCAATGTTCACTTCTTTGATTTAAATTTCAGCCTTTCTCTTTTGAACCAGGTACATAACCACAGTTGCTAACCCCACCGTGGCGTAGATCTGTAAAGGCACATCGGCTTTTGTGTCCCTCTTCTAGGGTGTGTATTTTGCAAACTGGGGCAGGGTAGCAAGGTGGGGACAGGAACGTGCTTACAAGGGTTGTTTTCCATTTTAAGGCAGAGTCCTGGAAAACTAATTGACTCAAGCAGGCAAGGCATAATACTTTACTTATTGTTTAAACATCCAGCCTCATTCATTATATTAATGATATGCCATTGGAATGGATAATACT